GATTTAGAGAGGAAGTTTGAGATTGCAACTATTTAAATACAGCTCAGCTTTCCTAGTGTGTAGGAGAAACTATGGTGGCTGTGAATAATGCAAAAGACCCAATTTAATTAAAGCTAATGTCTGGTTTGTCTGTTCTGCACTACTGTAGAAACATGGTGGTTCAACGTGGAGGATGTAGATAAAAAACGTCTCATTCTAAGGTGACAAAAACATAAGAATTCAGGTGATTATACACAAATAAAAACACATGAATATTATATTCCACTTTCTTCCAATAGAAACACACTGGACATTTTATATAAACAACTGACCAAATGACAATGTGTAATGTGAAAGGTGTCACTGGCAGTGATGAACAAGAAGTTACCACCAAACTCTCCATCAGCTCTATGGAGTCTTTAAGTCTTTTTTAGCTCATTGTTTTGGTTTTCCTACCTACGATCTACCCCAGCAGGCAACTGTTTTCAGCATCTAACAGCTAATGAGCCAGATATGTTTCTCAGCTGTTAGTGGAGACCAAACAAGAGGTAAAGAAACTAAATTTATGACCTCCAATGAATGCTAACTTCATATGAAGGCCGATCTTCCTCCTTATTTGCTGATGTGAAAATAGGCAATTATTTTAATGTTCACCATAACTTTATGAGGTGAGAATACTTGTATGCCAGTGTTGTATTTTTAGTTTGTTCTTCTGCCTTTCTATGGATAAAAAAAAGAATTAGTGCAGCTTTAATATCTAAAGGCCAGTGGTGGACGAAGTACTGACATATTTTACTTAGCAATACGACTTTCAAAAGTAGCAATATCACAGTGTGAAAATACTCTGTTAAGTTAAAGTCTTGTATTTAAAATCTTACTTAAGTAAAAGTACATAAGCATTAACAGCATTTACTTAATTTATCAAATACATCAAATAGAAAAAGTAAAATGACTCATAATACCAAATGGTCCATTTCAGAGTCACAACAATTAGTGATGCATTATTTTGTAAACATCACTAATGTTGCAGCTGCTATATTAGTGATGGCTTATTTTTACTACTTTATTTCCATTATAATTCATTATAATTTATTGCCTGATTTATATTTTGTATCAATAATGTGAATCTGCAAATTAACTAATGTTGTCAAATAAAAGTAGTGGAGCAGAAATATTAAGTAGCCTAAAATGGAAACAGTACCTCAGGGTTGTACAAGGTTCAGTACTTAAGTAAATGTACTTAGTGTATTACATGTATAAAAAAAAACATAAATAATAATCAGATTACAGTTACATTTAGTAAAAATGGGGATCATTTAGTAGGATTACAATTTTAAAATACACCTGTTTCTCTTTAAAAATACTCTGAACAGACAACACAATGTTGATGATAAAAATCTTTCCATTTTACAGTTTTTGCGGCTCCATTTTCTTCTCAAAGGTCACATTGTCTTATACAATACACACCAATACTTGTTTTTATTTACATATTTCATGTTGATGCAACCCAAAAGTAACAGAAAGTAATCAAGTTACATTACTTTAATATTGAGACACTTGGATTAGGTCACTGCCTACATTTCTTAACAGGTAATCAGTTACTGTAAAGGATTACATTTTTAAAGTAACCCTCCGAACCCTGAGTATGTTTATTGTGTCATATGCTGGATTACAGTAAACCCTCATGATGTTGACCTTTAGCCTATAGACAGACAGGCAGACAGACAG